GATGTGGCCTCACCAGTGACAAATAACAGAGAATCACTTCCTTCAGTCTGCTAGCAATGACCCTAGTAATGCAGCCCAATATGCCATTAGCTTTCTTGGGAAGACAGGATGCTGAGTTAGATGGACCATTAGTCTAACCCAGTATGGGCATTCTCATGACAACAAGGGCACACTGTTTACTCGTATCCAGCTTCACGGTTATCCTCAGGTCCTTTTCTGCAGAATTCCCACTTAGACAATCAGTCCCCACCCTGCAGCAGTCCATGGGATTCTTCTATCCTAAGTGCAGGACTCTGCACTTGTTCTTGTTGATCCCTTTTCATCCAATCCTCCAATTTGTCTAGGTCACTCTGGAGCCTATCCCTACCCTCCAGTGTATCTACCTCTGCCACCAATTTAGCGTCATCCAGGAACTTGCTGAGGGTGCAATCCATCACATCATGCAGATCATTAATGAAGATGTTACTTTAAGGTGGGTGTATAACTGGTTGGATAACCATTCTCAGAGAGTACTTATCAATGGTTCACAGTCATGCTGGAAGGGCATAACAAGTGGGGTTCCTCAGGAATTAGTTTTGAGACTAATTCTGTTTAATATCTTCATCGACAATTTAGATAATGGCATAAAGAGTACACATATAAAGTTTGTTGATCATGCCAAGCTGGGAGGGGTTGCAACTGATTTGGAGGATAGGGTCATAATTCAAAATGATCTAGACAAACTGGAGAAATGCTCTGAGGTAAATAGGATGAGATGCAATAAGGACAAATGCAAAGTACTCCACTTAGGGAGGAAAAATCAGTTTCACACATACAGAATGGGAAGTGACTGTCTACGAAGAAGCAGTGCAGAAACGGATCTAGGGGACCACGGCTAAAACAGCATGACACTGTTGCAAAAAAGCAAACACCATTCTGGGTTTCACATCGTAAGCAAGACATGAGAAGGAATTCTGCTCTACTTTGCACTGATTAGGCCTCAACTCTAGTATTGTGTCCTGTTCTGGGCACTACATTTCAAGAAAGATGTGGAAAAGTTCAAGAAGGTCCAAAGAAAAGCAACAAACATGATTAAAGGTCCTGAAAACATGACTTACGTGGGAAGACTGGAAGAACTGGCTTTGTTTAGTTGTGAAAAGAAAAGACTGAGAGGGGACATAACAACTTTCAAGTAGCTAAAAGGGTGTTACAAGGTGGAGGGAGAAAAAACATTCTCATTAACATCTGATGATAGGACAAGAAGCAGTGGGCTTAAATTGCAGAAAGGGAGGTTTAGGTAGGACATTAGGAAAAACTTTGTCAGGGTGGTAAAGAACTGGAATAAATTGTCTAAGGAGATTGTGGAATATCCATCATTGGAGATATGTAAGAGCAAGTTAGATAAATATCTCTCAGGGATGATCTAAACAGTGCTTGGTCCAGCCATGAGTGCAGGGGACTGAGCTTAATGACCTCTCAAGGTCCCTTCCAGTCCTAGTATTCTATGATTCTATGTTGAACAAAACCAGCCGCAGGTCTGACTCCTGGGACACTCCACCTGAGACCAGCTACAAACTAGACATCAAGCTTTTGATCACTACCCGCAATTAAGTTGGTCAGGCATGACTTGCCCTTGGAGAATCCATTTTAACTGTTCTGATCACCATCCTCTCCTCCAAGTGTTTCAAAATGGATTTCTTGAGGATGTGCTGCTCCATGATTTTTCCAGGGACTGAGGTGAGGCTGGCTGGTCTGTAGTTCTCCAGATTCTCTTTCTTACCTTGTTTAAAGATGGACACTACATTTGCCTTTTTCCAATTGTCCAGGACCTCCTCTGTTCACCACATGGGTTCAAGGGTAATGATCAATGGCTCTGTAATCACATCAGCCAATGAGAAGGGTCACCTGGCTCAGCCTGCTAAGACTGAGAGAATTCTGCATTTATTCCCAGAACTTGTCAGTCTTCAAAAGACGAACCCAAATCTTCTAAAATCCGAATTTGTAGCACTGATGTGTTTCTTTAGGCTCAGAAGTGAAATATTTAATAAAAACTGTATGGGTGTTGTATAGTTCTATTACAAATTATGCTGATGAGAATTCATATTTGATAACAATATAGTTCTGCAGTTTAGAAAAAACACTATCTCAATTTAGAGAAAACACATTCTTCATTGTCTGTAACATGCTTTTCAGGGTACTCTACTGAACTGTTTCAATACACGTTTCCTGGGAATTTTTTGTTTGTTTGATTGATTGATTGATTTGACCGAGGCTGGTACATAATTTTTTGAATGGACACTTAGAATATAGGCCATATGCTGATCTCTATAACACCAGCAAATGGAAAGCAGTTTCACAAGAGGGGTGGTTTGGCCTAGTGATGTTTTTGTAGTGGGCAACATAACAGGACCCATACATATGTCCTGGTATGTCTGTTATGGCTCTTAGTCTCTCCCAGGGAATTCCATTTCCCAGAACTCTTGTTTTTAAAGAGCCTAAGTCATGGTCATGTGATCAGAGAATCAGGTGACCAACTTTGAGAACTAGGGGAGAAGGCTAGGAGAATTCTGGGGAATTCGTCCCTGGGGGCATGTCTACACTAGGAAGCTATTTCGAAATAACTAAAATTGATTTAATAACTCCCAAAATAACAAAATCGAAATAGCATGTCCTCATTACAGGGAAGCCTCAAAATTAGTCTGAGGCAGGCTCTTTTAATGGGAATGTGCTACCTTAACTTAGAGTCCCTGGAAGCACTGGGGAATAATTAGTTTGAATTACTCTGGGGAGTAGTTATTTCGAAATAGTGGCACCGGAGCATCTATACTACTGCTATTTCGAAATAACTCTTTCAAAATTAGCATTATTCTTCGAGGAAAGCAGGAGTACAGATTTTGAAATAAGCGTCCCATTATTTTGAAATAACGGGCTTGGTAGTGTGGACACTCTGCTTATTAATTTGGCCTAAGGGGGTTATTTCAAAATAAAGCCCTAGTGTAGACCAGGGCTTGGGGAACTGTAATGGGGCATAAGAAGACAGGAGCAACTACTCAATGGGAAGAGTGTATCTTCCTTCCTCCCTCCTTCACTGCTTCGGAAAGCCGAAGATGCCTTACTTGTCTGTTGCCAGTATTTTCTGCTACTTTGTGTTTTGGCATCTGCCCTACGTAAAGCAGGGTGGGCCCTCCGGAAAATAACTTAAGCTGAACTATAGTTTTTAAGCTTATATTTTCCCTTCTCCCTTGCAGTGGTGGATTTGGAGTTAGTGGGGCTTTGTGCTCAACTTAATTTTTGGTGTCCCCCTGGATTTGGAGTTAGTGGGGCTTTGTGCTCAACTTCATTTTTGGGGTCCCCCTGGAATCCAGCCAAGAAAAAGAACATTCACTCTTCCTGTCTCTCCCACTTTTCATTCTTTTTTCTTCATCCTCCCTCCTATATTATAAGCAATAAGAGGTAAATGAATATAAAGTGAGGTGCTTTGATTGCTTTTGTAGTCTAACCTTTCTTTCACAGATCACTAGAAAACTGCTGAGGGTCTCCATGACTGGATCTCCATTGCCGGATCCAGTGTTGGACTTGGGGGCCCTGTGTCTTTCGGGGAGCCCCTGTGCTAGGGCACGGTATGTTTCATTGAAAATCCACCTCTGCTCCCTTGCAGGCATACCAGCTCTCAAGCCACAACACCTACATTTGCTATTACATATCCATTCCTTGCACTGAAATTTTCTCCTGCCTTCAACATGCTCTATGGGCAAAATTCTTTCCTTCCTCCACTGCAGTAGAGCTATGATGTAAGTCTTTTCCTACAAGGGCAAAATCACCAGTAATAAAAAAATTAATATGGGGTGGGCAACACATCAGGAACAAAAGCAGTAGTGATTTTCTCAATGGGAGCATTCCTTCCTTCTTTCACTGCCACTCAACTTTCCACTGTAGATCTGTTGGGGGAATAGCGTGGTCACTGCATAGGACCAGGAGCTAGGAACTCTAGCATTCTAATTCCACTTCAGACACTGAATCCCTCAATGGCTGAGCAAATCATAGCCCCTTTTCCTCAGTTTGCTTATGTATACAATGTTGCTAATGTTACCACTTCAAAAGGATGCTATAATACTTAGTGTGTGGAAAATACATTGAAAATGAAAAATTTTGTAAATCTTAAGTACTGCTAGTCTCAATACTATTGCTGTTTTCCCCTGGAAATTGAGTTCAGGGAGCAATGCTATTTTTCTTTTTTAAATTTGAGGGTTGACCTATGGCACAAAAAATAACATTCTTTTGTAAAATATTTATAATTCCACTGTCTCTACTTCCTTTGGGTTATTAGCAGATATCCAGCTTCAGCCAGGGAGGACCTCAAAGTGTTAAATCTCAGATATTTCTACAGGATTAAAAATATTTTAGAAAGTTTACAAAACATTTAGAATACATTTTATACAGTGTGTTTTAACAAAGTGTATTTTTATATTGCATCACAAAACAGTTGATTTATATAGCATGTTATAAATATGAAGTGGTACGTAGCATTAATCTTACTAACATTAAATGGTACTCCAAGCTCCAAAAGGTTTACAAGGATCTCAGTTCTAAAGCCCATGGAGTTCTAAATACGGGTTGTGGTTCTCCACTTTATAGAAAAAAAAAACATGTGTGTGGACATGGTTAGACTCTAGGAACTGGATTATCCCTGATGCATGCCAAAACTCACACAGAGAGCTCCTGGGGAAGTGGTCCCCAGGCAGAGCACGCCATATTGTTTGGTCAAAATTACTGGTTTTGTCCTCATCCAGAAAATAGACTGTACCCCAACCAGGTTAATCTCTTAGAGCACATCAGCAGTCTGGCAATGCAACTTTATTGGAATTGTTCTGCCAAGGACCCTGAACTGGAATATTCAGGAAATCTCACTGGGATTGGAGGGTGGACAATGTACATCATTATCAGCCATGCTCTGGCCCTCCTACTGTTCCTTGCGGTCTGTCAAATCTCTAACTCATGCTATGCATACTCTGTATTCTCAGGAAAAGTTGGTAGAGGACGACGAAGAATGGTTCACAGAGATTACTGATTCCCCCTTCCTCCTTTTTTTGTATGAGAAGAGGGAAATCTATGGGCACACGTCCCTGCATATTCAGATCCGGGGTAGAGTGTGGGAGATGATCCAGGCCTATTCAGGATTTTACCTAATAGTAAATGACAGCAGATGTGCCAGCTCACATATGCCTAAAATAACAGTTAGCTGCAATATTTGGCTACTTTATTTATGACTTCATTTTTATGGGCATTTCCATTTCCTTCTAGGAATCATGATCCCGAGTGCCTCAAAGTGTCCACAGTAGATACGTTTGTGTGTGTGCAGCTGGCTGGCTGGTTAAAATCTGCAGAGCTGGGCGCTCAGATTCCCATGAATCCCACGTCTCTCTGTTTCAGTTAACATCCCTGTTGATTCTGGGACCCAGTCCAGGGAAGTATGGGGAAGATTGTACAGATTTTACCACTGTTTTGGGT